CTACTCAACCACCTCTTGCTCGAGAATAATTTTGCCAATGAAAGAAATTTCCTTCAACCTAAGATGTTTTCGCTTACAGATGGACGATCGAGTGGAAAAGATTGGAGATTAGATTTTGGAGACTAACCTTTCAGATCCGAGGCCTAAGTTCCCTGTTTGAATTGCTGAACCAACTACCAGCTATCAGTCAGAATTTGCTCGTGATTTTCTGGCATGTTGTCAATAAAACGCCAAAAACCGACAGCAAAGCTTAATTGAGAAGTGTTAAAGTGGCTACTGTAACTCTCAACAAATAAACCCTATGTTATTGTTTCAACAAGTATGAGTCGATAGTCTATTCTGAAAGTGGTTTCATTCTTTACCTTTCTTTGTTATTCAACCCATTCGCTCCTGATGGCGTTTCAATCAGCTTCGTCTAAGACTTCCTTAGATCAAAAACTTAAACATAACGTTCTTAGGAAAGATCGATTGGAAGAGTGAGAAGACTAGACAGTGGCCCTAAGACATAAGGGAGACAAAAAGGGGTTGTGGTATACCAGAAATAGGGCAAGAACAGTATGGGGCCCAAGACACTTGAACAAGAAATGCAATTTTTATGCTCAGAACGCGTAATACAAATGCAGAATGGCCTTTATGTATGTTTTATAGATTAGACAAAAACATTTGGTAAGGCACAACTGTAATACCGGCTTGAAATTTTAAAAAGACTTGATTTACATGGGAAATATATTCGAGTAATCCGTAACATACTGTGGAAACAAACAGCCTGTTTGAATTCCAAGAACGAGTTCAGTTAAAACACAAAACTAGATTGATGAATAAGAAAGGTTTTCTCAACAGAAGTTAGATTTTATGAATGCAGCTCTAATTAGAAAAGAATATAATTTTGTACGAGAGGAAATACTTCGAGGGAATTCTGATAAATATTTTAACATCTATAAACACACGTCAAACATACTTTATTATATTATAAAATTTTATAAAACCCATACTTAAAGAATCTAGGATATGTCGACCTGCTACCACAACCGGTAAAACTTCTTTCTTTCACCCTCACACAAAATGTCCCCAGCTCAACCAAAACATGGATAAAAATGCCTGCTAGACACTCGCACACACACACACTCGCACACACACACACACACACACACACACACACACACACACACACACACACACACACACACACACACACAAGCGAAGAATAATCATCCGAATCTCGCATAGACAAACTAGAATTATGATACGCCTACACACAGGAATTATACACAAAAACGCTGCTTGACAATGACTGATGGCACGTGGGTTTTCTTAACCAATGAAAAACAAACATCTGTCAATATTTCTGAGATGAGGTATTGTAATTATTTACACTATGACATTGTTTGGACTATTCTCCTCATCTTTGTTGCCGTTTCGGTAGTTGTACGCTTCAACTTTCTTCAGGTTATTGGAATTTCGAACCGAACCCTTTATTTCGTCCACCGGGGTACTTTAATACTTCCTCCGGATGTTTCAGTTATCTCCCTTTAATCGAACTCTCTCTTTATGTTCACCACTGCAGGAATCAGGTATTGGACTCACAACTCTCTGAGTCAGGTTACTGGATTCAATCAGCGTTGTTATCCACTGGGCCATGAACGTACAACGACTGAAACGGCGTGAATATAGCGACAAAGATGAGGACAAGAGTCCAAACAATGTAAATAATGAAAAACAAGCAGCACAAAAATTAAAATGCCAGAATTTTCTTTTACTTCTCCGAATCTTATTCCCTGATGAAACTTTAATAAAAGAAAAAAGCCTATATATATATATAAGTAATTCATCGAGCCTAGAAGAATCCTCAACAGAATGCAGAAAGCACAGGACGGCCGTTTCGTCTTATATTTGGGACTCATCAGCAGTGCGCATCCACTACCGAAAATTGAAACCCGGACAGTTACATTGACAGGCAAACGTCATACCAACAGTACTAACAGGCCTCGGTGACGAAGAGGTGGCGCACTAGACTTGATATTGCGCCGCTCATTCACAAATTCCGTGGTGGAACTCATCCAAGTTCCTTTACCCATAGGACTGTGCTATATATATATATATATATATATATATATATATATATATATATATATATATATATATATATGACTCTCCCATCGATTTCGGCGAATAAGAGTCAAACAACTCAGTTCCTTGAAACTGACAGCCAGACTCCTGCACAAATCAGTTGACTACAGTGGAGACGATTTGTGCAGAACCAACACTTTTTGGAAGAGCCGAATACAGAGAACTGGTGTACAATGTCCCCTATGCAAGTTTGAATTCAGAATTATTCTTCTCCTTGACCGGTTACCAACCCAGGCTAAAGAACTCAGTCTGTCATACTATTTACCCATAACTGGGGGTGGGGAGAAGAGCCTTTCCCAAGTACTTAAGTGAATGTTCGACTGTGATTCGAACTCGGCTCTCTAATTCCTTAATCCGAGCCTCTATCCATTACGCCACCGGAACAGTATATTGGAAGAATTGATAAAGCTTTTCACTTGGTAAGATTTATGGAAGTGGATAGAACCAAAAACTTTTTGTACCTAGAGAGGGAAAGATAAATAGATATTAACAGAATGAGAAATTGATATATATATTTGAACAGATACGGAAAGATAGATAAACATATATATATATAGAGAGGGAAAAGTGATGATTCTCATATTCGATATTGATGATATTGACCATTTTGCAGCCAACCGGCAAGCCTTCTTCTTCCTCTCACCCATCTTTACTAACTGTAAGCTCATCTTCAACTTTTTCTGTTATTGTGCATTAACAAACCTCGACCCCAGTTCCTCTGCTCCCTCAACATCCATCTCTCAGCCTCGAATCGCGACCATTGTCTGGGACCGTCAGTCCAAAAGGTTGTTCACTGCCACGGGTGTTTCGTCCATTCTTTCCTCGCCTCCTTACCCTTCTTCCACTTTCGCTCAGCTGCCGCTTCTCGCAACTAAGATTGACCTTTTAGTGACGGCCTCATACCGTTCGAATCAGGACTGAAGAACGCTTGTGAGCAGGCGCCTGTTTACACCACTGACTCTCCTAGCCGCGACCTTTGTACGTTTCTTGATCTTTTGCTTTGATCTGAGAAGGACCTTTTCTTTTCACTGGACGTTCTTTTCAATCGCAAAAATCTCAGAAGATCGAAGTCTTCTACTCAACGCTGCAGAAGCGGGTGGAGGTTGTGGACAATCTTCTCGCTGGTCGATTTGAAATTACGACAGACAGGAAAGTAGGCTTAGCCAGGGTTAATAGACTAAAGATCGATACCGTCATATGAACAGGGGAAGATGCCAGGAGAATTTTAAAAGACAAACTATAATTTAACAGCCTCCTCTAAAATTTGATATCATAATTTTCTTAAAGAGATAATAGAAAATGACGTTGTCCGTACGCTTACTCTTTTTTTCTCTCTCTATTGCTTTCACTCTCTTTTCTCTTACTGTTTCTTTCTCGTTGAATACTTTTATCACCCACTCTCTCTTTTCTTCCTCTCCTACTCTTTCTATTTAGCACTTTATCTCTCTATTCTATGTCTCTATATTATTTTTTCATCTATTATTTAACTTCTAATATCACTTTATTTCGTCTCTCTGTTTCTCTTCTATCAATGTCTCTATCTCTCTCCCTCTCTATCATTTACTCTCTCCCTATCTATTTTTTTTTCTCTCTCTCTCTTTCTCTGTCTTCTCACAGTGTTTCTAAACACAGATTTATAGCTTCTTCTCTCTTTTTCGTTCTCTCAATTTTCTGAGAAATTCTCACGTTTTTTTCTTGGTCTTTCTGTTTTCCCTCTCTCAGTGTTTATATCGCTCTTTTCTCAGTCTCTCTCTCTCTCTCTCTCACTTTACACTCAGTCTTTCAGTTTTATCAATCGTTATCATTAACACTTACTATTTCTTTTTTTCTTTTTATCTCTCCTTGAAGCCTACGGATCTTGGCAAAGACCATCCTCCTTCGAAGATTGTGTAGTGGCGCAACAGAATCACAAAAACCTGTACCAAATATGCGAAACCACATCGCTTGTGGACTTTCAACAGCAGCAACACCTAAAATGGATATCACATGTAACTCGAATAGAAAATAATGCTATCACGAAGATACTGACGTTCCACAGGCCTTTAAATAAAAGTGTAGGAAGGAAACCCACCCATCAATACTGGAAAGAGCGATAACAGTTACTGGACTTGAGTAACATATGCCTGAAAATTTTTTTTAAGAAAAAATTTCATAAACTTCTACCGACAACAGTAATGGCTGTTCGGTTAATGAATGCCAAATGTTTCTTTATAGGGAAACGGTTAATATCACTATTACCATTATTATTCGGTATTTCCATCGCTTTTTCTCCTTTTTCCCGCCCCTTCAATCTTTTTAACTTTTGGTTTTTCTCTCTATTTGACATTCTCTCTTTTTGATTTTCTCTCTTTTTGTCCCCAACGCCTCTCTTTCTTTTCTCTCTCTAAATTTCTCTACATTCTGTTAATGTTTCTATTTTATGACTTCTGTTCTCGTCCTGTTTTTCATTTCTTAGCTTTCTCTCGGCTTTCACTATGTATTTCTTTCTGTCTCTCATTGTTTCTCCCTCTTTTTCTCCCTCTTTTTCTCATTATCTGAAACATAAGCTACAACTAAATCGTATTAATATTGATATGATATATAAAAGAATAATTATTATTTAGGAGATTGATTTCTTTTTTACGGCTTTTGACGGGTATTTAAGGCCCCAAAATATTTTTAGATTGGACATTCTTTTGAACATAATAATACTTTTCTGATACAAGTCTTATTAATTAACCCATAGCTTATGGGGAGATTAGAAGAGGGCGGATTCTTTCCTTTCCCAAGGGTATTTTCGCGTAAATGAATATACAAACCCGACTAGAATTAGAATTCGGTGCTCTGATTTCCAATTATAAGCCGTTACCATTACACTACCCGCACATCCAAAATTACAACACCTGCTATTCCTAAGCGGTCAATCATCCAGGTACAGACCAGGATCCACGTCGCTTAACTTCGGTGATCGTACGAGAACCGATGTTGCAACGTGATATGACCGTAATGCAATTATATAATAGTCATAATTAGTCTTTCGTTATACATATGAAATAAGTGTCGGGGTAAAGGTATGTAAAATGCATTTCATACATCTTAATAATATTAACAATAATAATAATAAGTGTAATAATAATAATAATAATAATAATAATAATAATAATGGTTTCATAATAATAAATAATAATAATAATAGTGTCATTCCAAACTCTTTGCCAAAGACGACAATGAGTTGAAAGGCTTCCTCAATATTGTAAAATACTTCAGTGACGACATAGGTATGGACTTCAGATTAGATAAATGTGCAAAAGTAACATTCAAGAAAGGTAGAATTACAGAAACACCCTTAATAGATTTAGATTTTGTCACAAAGATTAGGGAACTGGAGCATGATGAAGTTTATAAGTACCTAGGAATTAGCGAAGGAGATGGCATACAACACCCCCAAATGAAGTAAAAAATAAGAAAAGAGTACTACAGGCGTGTACGTCTGGTACTAAATACTGAGCTGAACTCAAAAAACAGGATATCAGCCATAAACACATTGGCTGTCCCTGTGGTGCAATACAGCTTTAATGTCCTTAACTGGACCATAGCTGAAATTAAGCGAATGGATGCCAAAACGAGAAAGCTACTCACTTGCTATCGCATGCATCATCCCAAAGCTGATGTCGACCGTTTGTATGTGCCCAGATCCGAAGGAGGCAGAGGATTAGTTCAACTAGAACTGTCCTACAAAACTACAACAATTGGCCTCCAAAGATATTTGGAAACTACAGAAGTAGTAAGCGTCTCTACTCCGTAATGAAGGAAGCCAACAAATTCAAAATGGAGTTCCAAATGGGCGTAGAGATGCAACTACAGCACAATACACCGGCTGAAACTGCAAAATACCTAAAAAAGATAGCTAAGAATGCAACCGACCAGTTACAGAAGCGATGGCAAGATAAACCGCTTCATGGCCAATACTCTGCCCGTACCAAACAAGCTGACGTAGACAAAACCCGTACCCATCAGTGGCTACGTAGTGTAGGGTTGAAAGCGGAAACTGTGGGTTTTATCCTTGCTGCGCAGGACCAATGCTTGCTAACTAGGAATTATCAAGCCCATATACTAAAATATTGTGTCAGCCCAAAATGCAGATTCTGTGATAAATATCCAGAAACGATTGATCATCTTGTATCAGGTTGTACGGTGTTGGCACCCACTGAATATAAAACCCGACATGACAGAGTGGGCCAATATCTGCACTGGAAAATCTGCAACTTCTACGGGAAGAAAACTGAAAGAAACTGGTATGAACACCACCCAGACCCGGTTACGGAGATGGGACCTGTTACAATTCTATGGGATTATACAATACACACTGACAGAACAATCAAGGCCAACCGGCCAGATATTGTTATTAAAGACCACAAACAAAAAAACGGTGCCTCCTTATTGATATGGCAGTCCCTGCTGACTGCAATGTATCTTTGAAGATATTCAAAAGTTGTCAAAGTACAAGGACCTTGAAATAGAAATCGCGAAAATGTGGCATATGGGGAACATCAACAATCCCTGTTGTAGTTGGAGTCCTAGGACTGGTTGGAAAAGATTCCAGTAGACTAATTGAAGGGATTCCTGGAAGTCCATGCCTCAAGGAGAGATACAAAAATTGTTCTGACAAGTACAGCCCACACCTTACGAAGGGCTTTATCTATGTAATTTAAATTTTTTTTTTTTGTCAGTGGAAATTGTCATGACGCCATTTCTAACCTTAGCGGGACGCGGAAAGAAATGTGTAAACGCCAGAAATCAAAGAAAATGATAATAATAATAATAATAGTGTCAGACTTATTATTGTATCGATGACGTCGTTACGAAAAGTCAATTGTGGAATTATCTTTATTTTCAAATTGCATATAAATATATATGTAGGTCTGGATTAAATTTAATGTCAATCATGAACCTTTGTTCTAAGAAGAGTCGATGTGTGGTGATCCCAGTATCTACTGGGTTCACCTTAAGTGTTTCCAAAGTAGGCTTTTTCTTTGTTTACACATCAGAACCTCAAAAGGCCCTGGTACATCAAAGGTTGACCTGGAATGTAAATTCCTAGCCCTCTAGGTGCGAAATTAGGACTCAAAAGAGGTTCGTAGCTGCCCTCGACATATAAAGAAGAAGTCGACCAGTTGAACATAGGCTGCGCACGCATGAGACAACCCGATAAGCATTCAACTTGAGTGGGAAACACAATAGACTGTCAATACGCCACGAGTGTAAGATCAACGTGCGAAGAAAATCCCCCAAACCACATAATCTCACGCTAACATTAATTGACGAAATCCAAAAGTAAATGAAAAAAAAGCTTACGTATGGAAGATTCTGTTTTATATTCTTATTTGTCATTACAGCAGTAACCTTACCATATACATTTATTAAGAGTTTTTTTTAATTATTTTACAGGAATATTTTAAATAGTGCGGATTTTATAAGAACAAAAATGATCTTGCAAAACCCAACAGTCGCTATATCAAATTTTAGCGAATATAGACTGTCTGTGGCTCAAATCCGAAAGAATTAAAGAAAAAAGTTTGCTATGATTGTGTATTTGTCTGTTGTTTTCAGTGATGCAAAGTGTGGCTTGTTATGACGTTCTCGTCTGCTAGTTGAGGTAATGTTACTGTTATTAACGGCCTTATGCATGCCGGGATATTGGAGCAGAAAGATCAATAAAGAAAGAAAAAAAGAAGTTAAAGTGGAGAATAAGATCTATTTAGATTGTCTCCAAGATCAAAAGACACGCGACAAAAGAGTACAAAAGAGAAAATATATGCCCAAATTAAGAGGATAATGGTGAGGTGGGAGGTTAGCGGAAGAAGAAGAAAAAAATACTTTGGAAGCGTATATAAGAAGAGAATGAAGGAAAATGAAAGCAGAAATAGAAATAGAATTAAAGACAAAAAGAACGGAAAAGAGAACGAAGGAAAGAAAGAAGCATAAGAATGAGATATTTTGTGATAAGAAGGAAAAGATAATGAAATATAGAAGGGAAAAGATGAAGACCAAAAGTAAAATGAGACAAACAGGAAGATATATAATTTGGAAGGAGAGGAAGAAAATAAAATGAAGCACAGAAGAAGAAGAAAAAGAAGAAGAAACTAAGAGAATAATAATAATAATAATAATAATAATAATAATAATAATGAGAAGAAGAAAAAGGGATGATAATAGAAATAAAAAGTAGAAGAAAAAGAAGAATAAAGAGAAGAAGAAGAAGAATTAGAAGAAGAAACAAAAGGAATAATAATAATAATAATAATAATAAGAAGAAGAAGAAGAAGAAGAAGAAGAAGGAGGAGGAGGAGGAGGATTTGGAAGAGGAGGAGAAGAAATGGCCCGCATTAAGCAAAAGAAAGGACATGAAAATATGAAAGTGGAGAGAAGAAATAAATCAAAAACAAGATGGCGGAAAAAATGTTGATGAAGACGAAGCAAAGATAAAGAAACGAACGGAATAAGGAAAAAGACGCAAAAAAAAAAGGTTCAGTAATGAAACAAAGGAAAATGAATAAGAAAAGCGAGGAAAGAAACGAGATAAAACAAATCAAGCGGAAGATGATGAGAAGAATATAAGAAGATGAAAGAGAAGGAGAAAATTCAAAACAAGGATAAGAATGAAGTAAAAGCGTAAAGATGAATTTGGAAAAAAGAAAAGATTGATGTGAGAAACAAAGAGATAATAATAATAAACAAGAAAGAAAGAAAGAAAGAAAGAAAGAAAGAAAGAAAGAAAGAAAGAAAGAAAAAAGATAGAGAGAATAAGAGCAGAAGAGAGAGTGCTATGTAGAGAGAATGATCAGTTACGGACGGAGAGAGAGCAAGAGAGGGAAGTAAAGAGATTGTAATCTGTAGCGAGAATGATCAGATATGAACACAGAGAGAGAAAGAGTTAGAGTGCTATCTGTAGAGAGGTTTGATCAGATACGGATAGAGAGAGAGGAGAGAGAATGATATCAGTAGAGAGAATAATCAGATACTGACAGAGAGAGAAGGAAAGAGTGTGCTATCTTTAGAGGGAAGAATCATATACCGACAGAGAGAGAGAGAGAGAGAGAGAGAGAGAGAGAGAGCTATCTGTAGAGAGAATAATCAGATACGGACAGAAAGAAAAGGAGAGAGAAAGGGAGGAGAGAAAGAAGGAAAGAGACACCTATATATATATATATATATATATATATATATATATATATATATATATATATATATATATATATAGAGAGAGAGAGAGAGAGAGAGAAAAAGAATGTGCTACATGAAGAAAGAATAACCAAATACGAGCAGAGATAGAGAGAAGGAAAGAGAGTACTAACTGTAAAGAGAATAGTCGGATACTGACAGAGAGAAAAGGATAGAAAGTGCTATCTATAGAGAAAATTATCAGATACGGACAGAGAGAGAGAGAGAGAGAGAGAGAGAGAGAGAGAGAGAGAGAGAGACAATGGAAGAGAGAGGCAATAGAAAGAGACAACAAAGAAGGTGAAAATGAAAACGAAGAAAAGAAGTAAAAGAATAAGATAAGGACAAAACAAAATATGGGACAGGAAGAAAAGCAAACGCAAACGATGAGGAAATCAAAGACAATTGGTGGCGAAGGAATGATGGTGGAGGTGGGGCACAAAGGTTCGAAAAACTAATGACAGAGATTAATAGAAAAAAGCGATTGAAAGCTACACTTTCGTGCTAAAATTTCCCGCTGTTTTTTCCCCCGTTACGACTCACGATTTTTCATCCATTTTTTTGTTGTCTTTTTCTAAGCGAAATAGGTGATAAGAGAAAAACTTACTATTGCCCTTTGCATCCAAGAATTAAAAAAAAAAGAGATAACAAGAGAAATAAAACACGGAAATTAACAAAACGAAAAAAAAAACAAAAACGGAAAGAAAACCAAAATAAAAACAAAAATCCAAGAAATGACTTTTTATAGTTTGTTCTTTATATATTTAGATTGAGTTTTCTTTTGTGTCTTTTTCGTTTCGTTTCGTTTTTTTTTTTTTTTTTTGGCTTTTGCAGACATGAATGACGGCTCAGATTTCTTTGAGTTCTTTCCCAAAAACTCTAGAGAAGTTTAATATGCTGATATGAGAGCTTTGTATTTAAAGAATTTGATTAGAAGCCATCCGATGTAAAAGTCAACTCTACTTTGGCTCACATGGAATCAGAAAAAAATGCTTAGGTCGAAAAATGATTAAAAGAAGAATTTATTTCTCATTTAGATTCTTGTTGCTTACGCGCAACATTAGAAATGCAGCTGAAGAAATAACTTATCTTTCATTTTCCTGTTTTTCTGTTTTCTAATAATTCTTTTGTAGTGTTTCGACCGATAAACTCTTTGTTCTTGCCCATATATATGTCGCATATTATTGGCTATATATATGTCTCATGAAGTAAACTTCAATTCAGACTTCTTTTTTTTAAACTTTCAGTCGGCTTATGCTCATGTTGATCGTATCAAATATTTTTCTTGGAAAACGTCACAGAAAAGTCACAATTTTGGCTAAGAAAAAAGTAACAGAAAATTTACCATAAACAAAGCAATAATAAAGGTCATAGTTGTTTGCATACATTTTGGGCGCAAACTTTAAAAACAACTGATAGAGCCTTAAATTATTTGTCACTAATTCCAAGTATTGTTTACAGTTGAGAATTCCATTGTTAGCTTTTTTATTTAAAAAAAAAGAAGACGTAGAAAAAATGATAACATTATCCTGTTTCTTTTTTTCCAGTGACTTTTTTTTCTACAATTTTTTTTTTTTCCTGAATTCACTTTTTTTTCGCCGACCAGTCTTCTTGGAAGGGATATGAACTCGATACACTTTCTTTAGACTAATCTATTTTACTTTATAAAAGCATAATGCCCAGTCACCAAGCCAGTGGACTGCAAAACTAATTCGCTCAGAAACCGAACTCGTAACTCCGGGGAACATTAATAACTAAACAAAAGGAACCAATATCTTTATTCATCAGAGGAATTTCAAAGTTTACACCAGATATTTTTTCCATAATTCGAAGGAATGATCATAAATATTTCTGTTAAAAAATGGTCGTATTCGACATACATCTAAGGAAGACCGGAAGAAATCGTTGTAGTAAAAACAACAAAGAGGAGGATGCTATATCGAAGGTTCATTGAATATGAATTATTATTTATTGACTAACTTGTGTCAAGGGACCACCGTACTGTGTATAGAAATGAATGTGTAACATTATTGACGAATTTATAAAAGATATTTTGAAGCGAAAGTGATTTCTTTTCAGGTTTTATTTAAATTTACTTCATTTTTTAGATGTTAGTATAAGTTATTTTGAAGTTAGAATCATTTTAGTTCGATCAATTACGAAGAAATTGCGTGTTTGACTTATTAAAGTAAATATAGAATTATATTCAAATAAAACAATAAAGAAATAACAATATAAACTGAATTTTAGCAGTGATTCGCAACCGCCGTGCCACGGCACGCTAGGGTGCCTCGCGAGCCTCTTAAATGTGCCGCGAAATACTGTCACGGCATGTGTGTGTGTGTGTGTGTGTGTATGTGTGAAATTAGTAATGTTAATATTGGACGAAGAAATGAAGAGGAAGAACTGGCCACCATTTCTAATGATCGAGGGCTCAAAATAAAATATTCGACGGTACCTATTGATACATTTTGGATTTCAATTCAAAACGAATATCCTACATTAGCTAAAAAGACTTTATCATTTATATTGAAATTTTCTATTTCTTATTTATACTTCTCAACCGTAAATAACATCAAAAATAAGAAGCGAGAAAGACTACGCTTAACTGTTGAAGAAATGGGGGTCTGCTTATCAGACATTCTACCAAACATTGAAGAAATGGCTAAAAAGCATGAGGCAAAGGTTTCACACTAAATAAGCTGCACAAATAGTTCAATAAAAACATTAAAATAAAGTAAGTTCATATTTGTATTTTCTTTTTAAATCTCTGGTTTTATTTCATAACATTCAAATGTATACCCTTTAAAAGTTTTGCTAAGTGGGCCGTGATATTTTCATTTACTTCTAAGTGTGTCATTACTTAAAAACAAAAAACGTTTGAGAAACATCGCTATATTATTCTTGAATCGAAAAATTTGTTACATTTAACTTTTTTACGTTAAATCAAAATGAACTGTTTTAATATTTCAATACTTCCAGCTCATAAGTTGCCAAGATAATTGTTTAAACACACGAGTCTCTTCAAACTGCTTCACATTTCTTTCTAAATTTCATAGAATTTTCCTCGGAATTACATATATTTTCTCTCTATATTCCGAGGATCCGCCCCACCTGTATTACCTAGGATAGTTTTTTTTACAAATTGTTTGGATTTATCTTTTATTCCTTTCCAGTTGTATTGTGGTTCACCACGAATGACCAGGATCAAAAGGCAACAAGTAAAATGCACGACAAAAGACTTTTCAATAATTGTAATCTAAAAAGAAAATGCTTATAATCTAAAGATTACTGGAGGCATTTTCAAAATCCTATTTTGCAGAAAGAGGTTTTAGTAAAGTTTTTCGTATGGTTGATTTCTCTCTTCAACATACAAAAATATCGTCAGGCATCATCACTTAACTCATCCTTATCAATAAGTCTCTTCCATTAATATATATATATATATATATATATATATATATATATATATATATATATATACACTGATGTGTGGACGGACAGGTCGAAACTCTGGAGTAGGGATGCTGAAGGTAACATCAATCAGCTAATTGACAAACTATATTAATCCTAATTCATTCTCTCTCTCTCTTTCTTTCTCTTTCTCTCTCTCTCTCTCTCTCTCACTCTCTCTCTCTCTCTATATATATATATATATATATTATCGGTGATTAAAACAAAAACATGTTTAAAATCGCTACGCAATAGCAATCGTGTTTCAACACTACAAATGTATCTCCTCAGGCGATGGTAAATTACTGGTGAGTGAACGATTAATTTCAAAAGTAGAATACTTTCTCTTTTTTCGAAAAGAAAGAAGACGAAAAAAATGAGACCACTTTTAAATTAAAATTACACACACACACACACACACACACACATATATATATATATATATATATATATATATATATATATATATATATATATATTTTAATATTATTATCACATTATACTTATATAATATTATGCAGTGGGGCAATTCGATATGAAGTAATGGTTATCAATCTTGTTTCACTAGATCAATTACGACTGAGTAGTGAGTTCGATCCTCAAAGGGCGCCTCCTTCTTTCGGCCTTGTGCCATATCTAAGCTACTATTAGAAAATTGGGCACCTCGAGTCGGTGTAATGGTTAGCAATCTTGTCTAGCTAGAACAGTTACGACTGAGTAGTGAGTTCGATCCTCACTGGGTGCCCCCTACTTTCGGCCTTGTGCCACATCTAACATACGCTTGGAAAATCACTACAATATTATACAGTGATGATGTGCGTGTGGTGTAATGAATAGCGACTCCGAATGCGAACTCGGTGAGTTCGAATTTTAATCAGGTTCTTTACATTAACTTACCTGCAAATACCTTTGGGAGAGGTATGAATTACCTTTTCCCTCGTCAGCTATGGATTAAATATTAAGAATTGTATCTGGAAAATCATTGTTATTCTCAAAAATGCGGTATTCACTTGCAAAAAAATGAATTTTTCTTAAAATCCAGAATATGTTTCGGCTTTAAATAAACCACAAGTCGATAAGCTGTAAAAAAAAAAAACAATCCAATAAAATACAATAAAGTTATTAATTGATTATTTGTTTTCATTTGTCTTCTTTGTCAGTTAAAAAGCAAACAAACATGGAAGGGGGCATTAAAAATGATCTGGTATGACTTAGGAGTCGGCAGTCACAATAAATTTGAGAAGTCGTGATATAGATATTTTAAAAATTTAAAAAGTTATCTTAAAATTCAAAAGCGCATTTAAAAAATAAAATGAAATAGCATTTCTCCAAGTAAAGTAGAATTGTAGCATAACTTCTAATTAAGCCATTTATTGTAAGAGATCGCAAAAAGAGTCAATTATCATAAGTCAATAATAATATTGAAACTATACCAAAGATTTGGAATTTGATAAAAGCGATGCAATTATTAATTTAAGCCAAAATAAAACCAGAAGGTTGGCTCAGCATTCTAGAGATGATAGCAACTGACACCATATAAATCAGGATTTTCCAATCTGGGTGATATCGCCCATCGGTAGGCGATTTCAACTGTTGGCCGGGCGATGAACAGAAAATGGTGGGCGATTGGAAATTTTGATGGGGGATCTAAAATTTTGACTATTAAAAATGTAATTTAACATATGTTATCCGAAAAAAAATATTCAAAGAAGATATGTAAAGAATTATTCCTACATAGGATATAAATATCGACTCAAACAAAAAAATATTTTTGATATTTTCTATCGTTTTAAGAAATGTCATTAACATTTAAATAATTCTTTAGATGAAATAACATTTCGGACATAAATCATATAAGAAGATTAAGAACAATTTTTGCCAGTAAAATGAAAAATTGACCTAAGGATAATTTTTATTTAATATAAAATTGTTTTTAATTTTTTGCATCACAAAGGCCATCTCGAATTTATCAAGTGTTCGTCAAAACATAATTTACGCACTATTGTATGTTTTTGAATATTTGCTATATAGGTGGGCGATGGAAGGTTTTCCATGTGAATGTGGACGATGAGGCCAAAAAAAATTGGGAACTCCTGATGTAAATGAAAGGAAAGAGTAAGTGGATTCATCAAAGACTGTTTTAAAGCGGCCAGAATGGAACTCGCAAAATATATAAAACATAAGAGTGAAATTAGGGAAATGGCTTTATTACTGTACAACAAATGATAAAGGAAAACAAACGACAGGAGAGAAAAAAAAACGAGAACGGAATTAGTTCCAGGAGGAATTTAAAATCAGGCAGAAATCGCAACTGGACAATAATTAATATGGTTACCCGGAGAACACCTTAACAGAGAAATATCACTATAAACTATATTAAACCGAAAAAACAAAAACAGCACCTACGTTCGCGCATGAAAAAAATGCTACAGTAAATCGCATCATAAGAAAATGGAATGAAGCTGGTTAAAAGAGGATAGAAAAAACAAGTATGACAGAGTAGGGATAGTCATATACTGGGAACTATGCAAACAACCTGGGTTTTAATTTTTTTAAAAAATGACACATATACAAACCAAAGATTGTCGTAGAAAATGATACACTTTTAGATCAATTCCGGTCGATTATTTATGAAGAGATTCCGGAACGAATTGTTTGAAAGGAATAAAAGAAATTCTCCAAAATCAAGGAATTGGACGACGTTTCGGTGAATTACAGAGTGAAGATGAAAGAAAGAAATTGAAAGACAGCAAAATAAATAAAATAAAGAAACTTATGAGGACCTTGCTCGAGATCTGAGAAAACTGTGAATTTAAAGTCGAATAACCGACGCACTTGGAGAAAATGGTGATTTTGAGAAAACTCGATAACCACCTATGGAATGAAGAAGTTCACACATATTCGGTTTAACGTAATGGTGTTCTACTCTAAGAGTTTCTCGGTTAAGGTGTTCTCCGCGTAACCGTATAATAATAATATTACTAAACTATTGTAGATTGGCGCAAGGCCTCTGGGTATACTTACTAGTAACGCGCGAACGTTATATATATATATATATATATATATATATATATATATATATATATATATATATAACGAAGGTTGGTAATGAACGATAAAACTTAGGACACGAACAACACATATAAGAATTGCCAGCGGCGCGTAGAAGAATTAGTCAACTGTTAGAAGTGAGTCAAATGAATTCCACAATGAATCTCCAACTGCAGGATATCTACCAACCGCCCCACGTGGTCAGATGTGGCACAAGGCCGAATTTAATGTGGGGTATCCGAGCCCGTAGGCTCGGCCAAAAAATTCTTCGTAGATCCTGTATAAAACGGGGACGGGTAGCTGTTTCCCGAGAGAAAGACACTGCCTCATCTGGGGATCCTCTTTGCCCGGAGATGGAGAATTTGACCAGCACAACTGGAGACGAATCTCTAACTGCAGACCAACATACAGTATTTAGTACTGTATTCATGTGAATGGGGCCATACCCATTATTGTCCGTAGGTATGCTACAACACCTTACCACACCTTTTCTGATTTACTCTGTACAGAGTCAATATTTTTCC